CAGGGGGGCCGATAGGGCATGAACAGGGAAAAGGGGGCACAAAGACATACTTTTCTTTCTTATTCTCATTTAAAATGTCTAGCTTTTAATAAATAATTATCTGACACCCAAAGTTTTAATTTGATGTAAAATGAATAGAAGTCCATTACTGTATATAGTAACTATTAAGTCTAATATATATACCCTAGTAAGCTATAGTACTTTTTCCTTCGGGAAGGTACCATCTGTGCAGTCTGCAATTTTGTTGAAGAAAGATGTTGAATCTATTTAATATTTCTTGAAAAATAATTGATTTCTGTGCATTTTTTTTCACACGGCATCAAATTAAGGTTGATTACGTCGATTAAGCATCATGAGGTGGAGCGTGAGGGGTGGTTCCCTATTTTTTATTTATTTATTTTTGTTGTTGCTGGGAGTTGGAACCCTATTAGTTAGGTTGCTTAATATTTATGCTAAGTACTCTTTAAAATACCAGAATAGGGAGGATGGTGTAGGTTTAAGTTTATTAGATTGATCAGTATTGCTGAACTATGAAATATTTTTTTTGCATACAGGTATAACAGAATAGCTTTAGTGTAGTTGTTGTTTTAAACTTGAGTATGAACTTATACAAAATGCAGCAAGATATTTAAAAAAACAGTTTTGTTGATTAAAACACACTATATCGGATTCATATCGGTATCGGCAGATATCCAAATTTATGATATCGGAATCGGTATCGGACATAAAAAAGTGGTATCGTGCCATCTCTAGTAACTACCGTCCTTAGCTCGGTCCTGAGACCTAGCTAGCTAAGATGAGAACTCGGCTGTCAGGGTTCGTTTAGCTAATCTGTGCAGGTGAATGAATTTACTAAATAAATCAAGAGAAACGCGCCGGGCTGCTCAGTCACTAATTACTGTTACTGTACTTTTATTACAAGTATTATACTGTAAAAACAACAGGCCGCATCCTGCTGCAGCTCCTGTGCAGAGCTGAATATTAAAGATGTGCAAACAACAGTATGTTTTCAGTCTCTTGCCACATCTGTAAAGACAGTAACATTTATTTAAAAGCTTGTACTTCAGTAACTCATTAATCAGGAAGTACGGATTAAAGTACTGTAGTGTACTGTGATACTGAAAAAAATGTAAGAGAACAACTTCAGATCCTGAGTGTGTGAGGACAGAAGAATCAGCTTTATTTCAATTTTGAGGGATAAAATTTATATCTGAGTTTGATGGTTCTGTTCTCTTTGTGATTACAGGAGCTGCCCTCAGATTCAGACCTCAGCCCCCTCGAGTGACAGCAGACAGATCATCCAACATGTTCACATGTTAACTGCAAAATGAACTGATGAAAACCGTACAAAGGTTAACGTACCACATGTGCTGCAATGAAAGCTGCAGCTGTTTTATGAAAACAGTGCTTATTGCAATCAATTCAATTTTCAAAATTATTATTGTTCATCACAAAAATTATACAAATTCTTATCTTTGAACTAACCAAATCTGGAATTACAAAAGAAAAAAAATCTTTACTCAACGCAGGATTTGAGTCGCATCTTGTGTTAATTTTGCAAAGAAATCATAATACCTGACAACTTCCCATGCGCCACTCCCAACACTCACATCACTGATGGTGACTGAAACCAGCCCTCAGTCATTATGCAAATATACTGTTTATAAGATTGGGGAAACCTGCAGTCAGCTGAGACTGAAGAAGTCACCTGGATAAGTGACGAAACGTTTCTCCCACTGAAAACGCTACGTCCAGATGAACAGAATCAACTTTTGGGGATTTAGTTACCTGGATGACTGAGAATGCATCAAGACATTTAATTTAGTTCTGTCTGTTATTGTCCTTATCATCCTGGAGCAATTGTAACCACATCATTTTTTCAGGGATTAATAAAGTATTCTGATTTTGATCCAGGAGCTTTACTGACTTGATACAATGTTTTTATTTATTTTATTTTTTTTGAGCAGTACATTCATGTAAAGATATATTTTGTAATGTATTCATGTTTTGTGTTGTATCATGAAAGTTAGAAATAATAATAATAAAATAATAACGATTTAAAATAATTTTAAATTGTGAAATATTTGTAATTACTGTACATATGACGAGTGCAGTGTATTGAAAAGGCAGGGTTAATAAGATACAATGTATAAAACTACATTCCAAAGTGAGTCTGTGTTGATCAACAAAACCTAGGATTCAAACATTCAGAATGCATTCTTTATAAATTAGGAAAAAGTCTGATGCTCACAGTGAAGGCGTTGGTGGCTCTGCATGGCTGTAGGTTCGAGTTACATGTTAAACCAAAGGAGGGGTTTTCTTCTGAAATGCTTAGATCCAGCTGAGTGTTAGACAATCAATGCCGGGAGCACTAAAGCTGGTTTTGAGGCATAAAATGGAACTTCTTTTGAAAACACCTTGTAGTCATTTTTCCTTTAATGTGACACATGTCTATTAATCTACAAAGCTGGCAGGGGGCACTGTCTACCTGTACACCTGCATGCAGGTACACAGACGATCTACATGAAGATGATCCTCTGAATGAAAGTCAGAGGGGATTTTTCTCAGTCTCACCCCCACCTGAAGCTCTTCATTTAACTTGAGGACAGCACCTCAGATGGACCGACCCGTGTTGTTTCAGCTCTGCTTTGCTTTCTGGGTCGGGATAGAGTGGACCGGAGCGTTGCAGTCCAGTTCGCAGTGGGGCGCGAACACGAGCATGATGAGGAGAGATCGGTCAGTTAACGGCTCGGTGGTCCTCCACGACTACATGGTGTTTTTATACCAAACATTGTCCAAACCTCAAAGCAGAGACTTTGATGTTTCAGACGGAGCAGGAGCTGCTAACACAGTTACAAGTTTTGTGGACCAAGGACAAGGTTTGACACCAATTTAACTCACTTTCCCTCAAAATCCTGCCTAAAAAACTGAATGTTCTAGTTTTATTACATCTATATTTGGTGTTATTCTGTTTTAAACAACCATATTTCCATTGTTGACACAGATTACTAAATGTATCACTGATTTTTAAAGTTAGTAAAGAATTTAAAGTTAGTAGAAGTGATTATTTATGCGGGTTTTTGCTATGTTGTGACCATCAGAAGGTCTCATCTCCAAGTTTACAGTTTTCATTGCCATTCACTCGCTGGGCTCTCGTCCTCATTTTCGGTTTGACAGCGTTTCAGTAGACAAAGGTGAACGGCTTAGACATGAACTGAGCTGTGGTTTGGGGAAAGCTCTGCTTTGCTTTCTGATTCTACACAAAAGCAAGAACGAACAGCTTGTAGAACGGGGGGTGGGGGTGTCGGTCACATATAGATAAGGGCCAGAAGTGGCGTGTTTGGAGGCGTGGTTCCGCTCCTGAAAATTTGATAATTTATCTCAAATTATCTAAATCCTCCCCTAAGTCAGCCTGAAAAACTTTTAATAGATTTGAAATCCATGAATGAATCCACCTACACCAACACATCAGCTTTATCATTTCAGCAGCATTTTAGTGCATTTCTTTCTCAACTTCCTGTTTTTGTTAAACGGGTTTAACAACAGGAATGACATTTGTAAATATCATTCCTGTTTAACATCACCCAGTTCCCTTTATGATGTTTATCACTGACTTTGATGAATGCCATAAAGACTTAGAGGTGACATCCTATGAAGAGCCAAAGAGCTGTATTGAAGACTGAGGCTTGAGTCCCACATGTGACCAAAGACCAGTGTTGGGTCAGGTTTCAGACCTGCACATAAAGTTACATGCTGCGTGCTCTACCTTTATTTTCCTCCTATCCACAGATCCTCCATCATGGGAGAGCGGCCAGCGTTACGTCTTCGACTTATCCAGCCTGGCCAGGATGGAAGAGCTGGTGGAGGCCGAGCTGAGAATCCTCAGGAAGCCTCTGGCAGACCTTCGACCCACCCTAACAAGCGGAGGAAACCTTTACGACATCCGCCTGTACTCCTGCTCTTCGGAGAGACAGTTGCTGGACTCCAGAACTGTCGAGGTTTTGGGTGGTGGTCTTCCCAGGTGGGAGGTGTTTGACGTGTGGTCTGGCATGAAGGCCCATCTGAGGAATCCTTTGGAGCCACAGCAGGCCTGCTTCCATCTCCTGGCCTTCTCTGAACTGACCAACAAGGTGGCTGACCCGCTGGTCCTGGGGCTGGGTCGCACCCCTTGCCCAACCCAGGAGAAAGCTTTGCTGGTGGCTTTCTGGCATACCAACACTGCCGACAGTCTTTTCGGAGAGGTGACGCACAGGATGAAGAGCGAGGGCGGAGGATTTAGCCTCCCGAAGCCTCCGAAACTTATTCCAAAACACGTAAAGAAGAACCGCCGGCATCGACAGAGAGCTCTGTCCAAACGATCCTTCGGTGGGGCAGCGAGAGGAGGCAGGAGGAGCCGCTGCAGCCGGAAACCGCTGCACGTGAACTTCAGAGACCTGGGCTGGGACGACTGGATCATCGCCCCTTTGGACTATGAGGCGCGCCGCTGCGACGGCGTGTGCGACTTCCCGCTGCGTGCCCACCTGGAGCCCACCAACCACGCTGTGATCCAGACCCTGATGAACTCCATGGACCCTGATCTCAGCCCACCCAGCTGCTGCGTCCCCTCCAGTCTCAGCCCCATCAGCATCCTCTACATAGACTCAGCCGGCAGCGTGGTCTACAAGCAGTACGAGAACATGGTGGTGGAGAGCTGTGGGTGCCGGTAGCACACGCACAAACACAGGGCTCACCTCGTGTACTGGTCTAAGATTAGAGCAACACCTGCAATGTTTGTGTTTTTGCTCTGGTCTTTGTGGCCAATCACGGCAGAACAAGCTGAAAATACGCCTCTGATAGATGACGATGCTTCGCCATCTGAAGTCGTGTTATCAAGTTATTTCTGCTCCATTTGCATATTTGTAACTCTCACTTCCTGCATTCAGATTTTTCTCACCATGAACCAAGAAGCAAAGCTTTAGTCTCACAGATGCCCGTCACCTCATTACATCTGACACCACATCTGGAATATTAGTTTGTGTTTATTGTTAGTTTACTGAACTCAGCACCAGCCATTCAGTCTATAACCATGAACCTGCCCTCACACAGCCACTTTTTACTGACTGAGAAATTAATAAATGGTTTTGATGCAACTGCTTCAGTTTGTGTTTTTATTCATACCGACCGGTGTTCAGTTCCAGCTGCATTAACATCACGTGATCTTCACCGTGAAGGACGTGCAGCCACAGCTATCTGCACGGTGATGAGCGCACGCCTTCATGTGCTCACCTGTAAAGTGGCCCGGTAGATACTGGTGCTCGGGAACTTTTCCAAGATTTTTAAGCTGGGAGGTATCGAGGACCCGTCGAGGTCGACCAGCGAGGAAATCGGAAAGATTGAAAAGAGAAATAAAATCTGCTCCGAGAACACAGAGCGAGGCTTTCACTGCTTCATGCTGCGACACACTTACAGGAGCCTGAAGTGGGATTAACTTTATCTTCAGACCTAACCTGAAGCAGTAACACGGCCTGTTGTAATCTGTGTGTTTAATAAATTAAGTTTTCATTTATTCCCACAATTATAAACAACAGTTAATATTACAGCAGTTATTTCACATGCATTAAAAATACTGTTCCTCACATCTGCGGCTTCATCTGGACTTCTTTGAAATTTCACTGTAAATTTTCTAAACTTTAATAAATGTTTGGTCTCTATGATGAGCGCCCTCATGCCATCGTTGTACATTTTTATGTGATTAGCCAGGATATAAGAGTTGGAAGCATGTGGCCCCTGAAGGCTGATGCTGTGTTTAGTGTTTTCACTGAGCACAAACTTGTACAGCTTCCACGCCTGCACATCTTATTACACAAAGACAACGTGAACCTCTGGTTCGGCTCTGTGGTCTCGTTACAAACGTCCAGCTGAGGCACTGAATGAAGTGTTTTGGTCACCGGGAACTCGGCTCCGTAAATCTTCACGGATCCATTCAAACACCATTTTGGCGACTTCTCGTCCGGCGTCCAGCACGAAGGCGTGACGGAAGCCGTTTTCACACAGCTTGAAGTCGCCGAGCGGAAAGTCCCGCTTGATGTCGTGATAATAGTGCACCGGGCACCAGTGGTCGGTCGCTCCGTAATAAAATATCAGCTGAAAGCACAGATAGACAGACAGACAGAGAGAAAAGGGGAAACGTGGTTTTAGAGGGTGTGATCAAAGCAGCGCTCCATGAGCTGATCGCCAGCCTGCAGCCAGCAGAGGGCCGATCGGCTCAGCGCAACCAGGGGAACAACAGGTTTGACCTTTGACCCTCAGAGTCAGACTGCCGACGCCGAGCTCTGCCATAACATCTGACAGGAGCGCTGGGAGCGGCGTCAGGTCATGAGGTCGGTAAAGTGTCCAAAGTGTACAGAACAGAGCAGTAAGTGAAGCGTGAGCAATCAGAAGTGCTGTCTTTAATAAAAAGGCGACATCACCTGCACGGGTATCTGGCTTACATTTTCATTCGCTCCTCTTGTAGGCGGGGCTTTTCTTACCTTGTCGAGATGTTTCCCGATAGTCGTGTCATCTCTTTTTAGAACTTTCCTCATTTCCTGCCCGCCCAGGTACATGGCATTGGCTGCACGTGGAAACAAACCACAGAGGTTAAAGCTGGTCCGGCTCTCGCTGCAAACTCAACATTTCAAACCTCGGCTGTTAAATCTGAACCGCTGCCAGCCTGCTGGGGGAATTCCCATCATGCACTGAGCTCTTTCACTCCCAGTATATTAATATACAGCCACTGCATGTTGTAAATGTAACCCCCCCCCTCCACCTTTCTGCAGGCACCTCTGGTGCTGACAGGGTTTCTCTCCATAATTCTGTCTCTGTGTTATCACATAAAAGCTTCTTATCAAAGACAAATGTCTGCAGTCTGAAAAGCATCTGCCCTCGCTGCATATCTCACAGAAGAACGAAGCATGGCCGACCTGCAGAGTCTCCACTGAGCAGACCCAGGGTGGGCTGCACCACAGTGAGGTCCAGAGAGCGGATTCCCCCCAGCATCAGTCTGATGAGGCCGACTTTGAGCCTGTCGGGCAGCAGCGAGAGCAGGAAGAGGGGCAGGTAGACCACGTAACGCATGTGACACAGCACGGGGGTCATGACCTTCCCCTGAGGGCTCTGAGCCATGCGCTCGATGGTGGGAAACAGCAGCAGCGCCTTCAGGACCTGCATTAAAAACAGAGAGGAGACAGAAGGTTTCAGACAGACAACAGAAAGCTCCGAGACAGGAAGCTGCAAACTGCGGAAACTCCCGGATTAGAGGCAGGGGGATTTTCATGTCATTTAATCCGTTTCCTGAAAAAGTGATGGGAGGGAAGTGAAGGGAGGGCTCAGTGCCCTCAGCCAGGATCTCGCCGGGCGCCATCCGAGCTGGTCATGCGCTCCAAAGACAGAGTTTGTGATTCCAACAAACCCCCACAGAGCGCTCCGCGGTGTAGCAGGTACGCATTCACCTAACAAAGGCTAACAAACCGTTTGATCCTAGGAGGAGAGAAAAGAAGGGCGTGCCAAATCAAACATGTGGCACTCCCGCTGTGAACGACAGCAGCAGGCTAAGGATGAAATAAGCGACAATAAAAACATAAAGAGTCTCCGTTTCTGAACGACAGAAACCTCAGAGCGGCCGTCGTATTCCGGGATTAAACGATCCCAATAAGTAAAAACTCATTTGGCTTGTTTTTAGTTTCGTTCTCACACAGAGCCTCCGTCCTGCTGATCATGTGATCAGGCTGAGACGACCACGCTGCGCACGGTCATGTCTGAGCTCCGGAGCCTTCCCTACGTCCACCGTCCACTGTCCCTGCATGCTTCACTGTTTGGGTGGAGGCGTGTTGGTGCGTGCTGTAGGCTGTGTGTTTTTGTGGATCGAGGCCGATTTGTGGTTTCTCCTCAGACCGGAGAACTGCGATGACTCACCTTCCTCTCAGGATTTCTCTTCATCATCTCCAGAATGATGTAGCAGCCGATGGAGTGACCAATCAGGACCAGGCTGGTTTCTCTGGGAACGTGATTCCTGAGGAAAGCCAGCTTATGTTCGACCTGCCCGTCCAGACCAAACACGTCGTCCTCCGCCGCTGAGGCGCCGTCTGCAATCGGAATAGAAATGTCAGAACACCCGAACAAGCTGCTCCTCTCTCCTGTGAGCAGAGCCGTGCGTACCTTCGATCATGTCCATGGAGGCCGGAGGAGCGCAGTGGCCGGCGTGGCTTACGGCCCACACCGGGTGCTGGTAGCCACACCTGCTGTGGAGCGTCTGCATGAAGGTCCTGTAGAAGCCCACCACACCTGGGTTACCTGTGACAGACAGCACGAGGTCAGCGAGGCCTGTGGTAACCATGGTAACCGCAAACCTGATCCAGAGCACGTCACAGTCCAAATCAGAGGACTGCCCTGTACTACAGTAATACCGCAGCTGTACTACAGTAATACTGCATTTGTACTACAGTAATACTGCAGCTGTACTACAGTAATACTGCATCTGTACTACAGTAATACTGCATTTGTACTACAGTAATACTGCAGCTGTACTACAGCAATACTGCAGCTGTACTACAGTAATACTGCATCTGTACTACAGCAATACTGCAGCTGTACTACAGCAATACTGCAGCTGTACGACAGTATTACTGTGCTGTACTGCAGTATTCCTTCAGTACAGGGTATGTCCTGATGTTTGAACTCCTGAGCACAGCTTCCTCCGGAAGTATGAAACACAACAGGTGCTGCTGAGCTGTGGATGTGGGCGGGGCTCACCTGGGATGATGAGGAAGAGCACCTTGTGTGCAGAGGTTAGGGGGCAGGATCCAAACCTGAGCAGCTCCGTGGCGGCTCCGCAGCAGTAGAAGAAGTCTGTGTGTGGTGGGTCCATCATCAGCCCCGAGGAGAGACACGCAGGTGTATCACAGGTGTATCAGCAGGTCCAAAGGTTCCAGTCTGATCAAAGGTTCAGACTGAGCTTCACATTCACAGCTTCAGGTGTTCACGCTGCAGGTTTCAGCTGGTCACGTGTCTCACTAACAGCTGATCTGAGATCTGAAAATAAGCTTTAACTGACCTGAAAACCCAATAACTAACTAACCACTAACTAACTAACTATCTATCTAACTAACCAACCACCGTTAACCGCTAACAGACTGCAAACTAAACCGTTCACAGGCTGACGTCACACCGGAAGCTGATACTATGACACGCTGTAAATAAAACTGTTTACCTGTCAGAACAATTACGAATAAGTACTACGATATCCTCTCCATGCAGGTGCTGCTCGCTTTCAACCGCTTCCTGCTTCGCACTGCTGCACGCTGATTGGCCAGTTGCAACGCAGCTTCTTCTTTTTATTGGCCGGTTCAGTTTCCAGCTCATTACCGCCCCCACGGGCCCGGAGTGTAACTACACCCGCTGTTAACTTGAACGTACCAAATGACAATTAAAATGGTAAATGGCCTGTATTTATATAGCGCTTTACATATCCAGTCATCCACCCATTCACACACACATTCACACACTGGTGATGGCAAGCTACATTGTAGCCACAGCCACCCTGGGGCGCACTGACAGAGGCGAGGCTGCCGGACACTGGCACCACCGGGCCCTCTGACCACCACCAGTAGGCAACGGGTGAAGTGTCTTGCCCAAGGACACAACGACCGAGACTGTCTAAGCCGGGGCTCGAACCAGCAACCTTCCGATTACAAGGCGAACTCCCAACTCTTGAGCCACAATCGCCAAAATAGAATTATTATTTTATTTTGTTCATTGTTAGTCTTTAAAAAAGATTTTATCCGTTATTTTTATTTTCCTCAGTTTATTATGTAACGAGATTTACCTTTTTGTTTGTCATACTGTGTATTTCAGTTTTTATAAGTCATATTTATCGTCTTGGCTTCTGTAACATATTTATATTCATCCCAGACTTTCAGATGAACATGAAGATAAATATCTCATCTTTAAATTCACATTAAATTGCATAAATGATAGAAATGACTGGCATTAATTTCAAATAAATACAACATGCATGTGCTGAAGTGAATTCGTCCTTTTTTTATGATAATAATAAGAAAAATGCAACTTTGCAATTTTCCTCTCTGCCATTCATTTTTGCAATTTATCTCATTTTTGCACATTTTAATATAAAGAAAAACTTTGTGAATGATTGTAAATAAAATTACACAAATTTGGGGGGGATTGTTTCAGTTGCATCCAGACTGAAACTCTAACTTATTAAACCTGCGCCCTCTTTTTTATTAAACATGTTGTCAGCAAAAACGAAATAAACAAAAAAATAATCAGTCATTAGTTTTTATCAGCTGATTTAACATCACAAAATGATGTACATTCATTTGTGTGAAGTGTTTAATATTAAAGCCAGTCACTTTCACAGAGGCCCTCAGCAGACATCTGTGTTGGCAACACGTTGGTGTGAATGTGATAATAATAGTGATCCACACACTGAGCTCGTGTGGCTGTCGTCACACACGAAGTGCTTTCAGTTTTATCCCGGTTATTTTAGTTTCATCCTGAGCTCATTTTTACACCCTCAGAGCCCAGCACGGCCCAGACAGATGTGAAGGGTTTGTTCTTTGCTTTGGTCTGCTGGTCTGGGCCCAGGTTTGAGTTTTTGGGTTTAAGGGTCTTGTTTTTCATTTTTATATCTTCAAGTTACTTTAACCTTTTGCATTGTTTGATTTTGGATTCTCCTCGTTCAGTTGCTTCTGTCTCCCCGTTGTATTTTGGTGGTTGCTGTTCTGTGTCTGTCTTCAGTTTAACTTTCTCCTGAGTCATTATTAGTTATCCTCAGCTGTGCTCCAACCTGCTGCCTCTCCCTCGTTATCCCTCATACATAATGTCATGGCTGTGTGTCTCGTTGTCTTCCTAAAATTCCCGGTGTTTGGATTTCCTGCGAGGGCTCAGCATTAAATGTTTGCTTCCTGAGTCCACGGTCTGCTTGCTGCACGGCCGGTCACTGGTTACACACATAATATCCCAATAATCAATCACAGGTCTGGTACAGGTGTGTCACAGGTGGCCTCCCCCTGTATCTGTGTGTTGTTAAAAATGACACGTTCTCTCTGTGGCTGCCTGGCTTCCTCCCACACTCCACACACAAAGATGTGAGTGAGACTGGTTGTGTGTCCCTCTGTGTGCGACCCTGAGGAGGACGAGTGATGAAGAACAGAGAAGATAAAGTAATGAAGGCAGCAGCGTGAGGTCCATTGTTCTAACGTGAGGAGCAGATGAACTGACAAAGATTCACATCGTATCAGGTGTCTTTGTTTTGTCTGAGCTCAGTCATGGCAGCGCGCACACACGCATGCACACACACTCACACACGCATGCACACACACACACACACACACACTCACACACGCATCCACACACACTCACACACGCATGCACACACACGGACACACAGACATCTGATATTGTATAAGAGCATCTCCCCGTGTTTTACTTCATGCAGATGTGTGGTTTCCCCTCGCAGTGACTCATGATGATGATGATGTGGTAAAACTTGTCATTTCCTCCTATAACTTTCACATTGTTTTTATGCTAACGACGCCGTGAGGCTCAAACATGGTGACTTAGGTGTGGACCTCCTGTGTGAAGAAAATTACACATCTGGATCCTTTTACACCGACTCACGACACATTAATAAAGAAAGATAATAACTCCTCTCCTCTGAGAGGAGTTATTATCATCTACAATAACAGTGCACCATCATCATCGTCACCATCATCACCACAGGAGGTCATGGAGAGGTCGGTGTTTTGGAGCAGACCTTTTAAAATAAGACTGAACAGTTCCTCTGTCACAGCAGCCAAAGCACAAAACAGGACGGACACAAACTATTCTCCTTATTTCATAAAAACTAATAATACAAATCTGAACCTGTGTTATTGTGTGTTCATATTTTTTTCTTTATCTGGACTGAAAACCTCAAACTCAACTAAACAAAAGAAAGACATAAAAGATCATAAATGTGGTGCTTCGCTTTGAGCTTTTTGTCATGCATGGAAAAATGCTTATGCTGAATAGAATAGAATAGAATAGAATAGAATAGTTTTAAAGCCAGCAGCATCTCTTTCCCTGCTCCTCACTCCACACTGGACCTAAAGAGTTTCTCTTCACAAACTTCCAGACTTCAAACATCCAGACTGGAGGAAAATAACGGGAGCGCTGCTGATGTCACTCAGACCAGCAGCTTTAATGGTTACAGAAACATCTGCTGCTCAGGTCAGAAATATGGTGATATCATTTTGAGGCTATATCGTCCAGCCCGTACTGCCAAAGCACCCCTAAAGGATGCCAGGTCAGACATGGTTGAATACCTTCTTCAAGTCCAGGAAGCACATGTTTGGCAGATTCTCCTGTCTAGCTCCCTGGTGTAGAGCTTCCCTGTGGAGGCTGAGGATGTTGCACCACACCCTCTGGTCCCCCCTTCCTGAAAAGAGGGACCACCACCCCAGTGTGCCGATCACAGACATTACAGACTGTTGTTAAAAGAAGACCGGATGTTGCAGAATTTTCTTATTGTACCTAAAATGGTACGTTTTCTCAGTTTATGTTTTCTCTGTTCTTCTGCAGGTAAAATAGAAGTTTATTAGATTTGCATTTCCTTCTGTTTGTTTACATTTTACAGCTTTTTGGACTCGGAGGCTGACTGGGGATGAGACACAGATGGAACAAAGGAGGCCAGAGCAGACAACCTAAGAACAGGAAGTAAACCAACATGAGAAAACTGATCTTCAAAGTTTAACAGGAAGAAGCCAAACAACAAAGGAGGAAACGACTAAGAACCACAGAAAGCTTTGACGCTTCTTATTCTTATAGATTTCTGATGTTATTTGTGTAAATGAGTCCAGGAGCTTCAGGAGGACACAATGAGACAAACACAAACTGGAGTTCAGCATCTGTTTAGCTGAACACCAACAAACAGCAACGTGCAGGCTGAACCACATTCAGTGAATCTCACAGAAGAAACGTAATTTATTTTTATCATTCATGAATATCACTTTAAAACAGTTTTTATTGTCAAAAAAGGGGTTTTTCAATTTTTTCATCCATTATGAAACCACTTTATCTTCAAAGTTGTGATTCACTGCCTAAGTGGCGTTGGCCATTCGCTGAAAGACCTCCAGAGGAAGGGTAAAGGTATCTCAATGTCCATCTTCTCATCGCTGACTCTAACGTAGGGTGCTGTGCTCTGGGAGACCCTGGTCATTAGAGCCACACTGGCTTCAAGTCCCTCATAGAAGCGCACCTGCAAAATACTGATGATCCTGCTGGTCCCATCATTTACTCGCTCCATGCTCAGAGCATTTAAGGCTTTCTGGGTCTTGAGTTTGATGAGGTCTCTGTACTCAGTCGTGCACCTCTGCGCCTCCTCGCCGTGCTGTTCTGAAAACTGCAGAACATCTGCATAAATGGCATTAACTTTAGAGGAAATTTCAGAGTTTTGATCTTGCAGGTAGGCGAGGAAACTCTCAGCTTTTTCAGCAACGACGCGTAAACATCCAGCAGCTGTCAGGTGGAGCACGTTGATCACGCTGATCACACCCTCTCTCAGCTGGTCCAGAATATTCCCCACCTTATCCATGATCTCATCTCCGCTAACAAAAGCATCACTTCCAGGTACGGTGAACCTGATTTTCCTGATGTCTGTAGAGATGTTCTCCACGAGGCCGTTGATTCTTTGAATGGCACTACGGGCTTCCTGGACCGCTTCCATAAGAGAGAGCTTCCTCTCCGATCCCGGCACCATGAACCGTGTGTCATTCAAAAACTGCAAGGCTGCATCTAGCAGCACATTCATGTTGTTTTCACACTGTTTCATGACACGCTTCACCGTCTCAAACAGCCTGTCTATAGCATCCTGCACAGTCATGGACATCAAGACGTCAGAGGCCTTCCGGTAGTTATCTCGCGCTCCATCAGCAAAGTTTTGGATCCAATCCTGCGGTGTGGTACAAGACACAGGAACCTGATCGTAGGCTCGCTCTATGGCATAAGAAAGTGTGTTTTTCAGCTTCTTGCTGCCACGGTTGATGTCAAAGCCAAAGTGGGAGGTGTGATACTTGTTAATGCACTTGAACACAGCGTCTGTCATTGCAGGAACTCTGTGCTTGGTGCCTTCCATCACATCCCAAAGGAAGTCCCGATTCCACGAAGTCTGCACAAAGAATTTTTGCGAGTTTCTCAGTGAGACTTTTGCAGCGAAGACATCGGTATCCCTCTCTGGAGATGACTGAGAGTGAGGGAAGACGTTGAGAAGAGTATGACTTTAAACAGAGCATCAAACAGTCTGGAAAGCTGCACTCGCAGTAACAATAATATGAAATAAAAGAGTCTAAGATGTAATACCAGGT